CTGAACGGCAGTGTGAGGACGGCACAAAGGCAGACGTGTCTTGTTGGCCCAGATCCTCTGTGGCCTGGCTCAGGAGAAAGTCCTCTCGAGCTGGGGGCAGGATTTGGTGCTGGGCTGCAAATGTCTTATTAGGGAACGGGCTTTGGCAGGCAGCTCCCCAGGTCTTAGCCTTCTCTCTTCCTTGGCTAAATTGCACGTGGGGGGCTAGGCTAGACGGGGCACACGGAGAGAGCCAGTTTGGTGTCGTGGTTAATCTGGGAGAACCGGGTTTGATTCCCCACTCCTCCACTCGCAGCTGCTGGATGACCTTGGGCAAGCTGTAGTTCTTTCAGAGCTGTTCTTGAAAAAGAGCAGTTTCTGTCAGAGCTCTCTCAGACCCACCTGCCTCACAGGGTGGCAGGTGTGGGGGAGGGGAAGGGAGTTTGTAAGCCGCTCTGAGACTCCAAGTGAAGGGTGGGGTATCAATCCAATCTCTTCTTCTGCTTTGGGAACTCTGATCTCCTTTATCCTCGCATGAGTGACCCCGCAGTTGCACTGCACTGAGTATGATGTGATCAGTGCGGGAAAGAGAGTGTTGAGGAGTTCGGAAAAGGATGTTTTGACTTTTCAAAAAAGTTTCTTTCAAAGTCTTCAGCCCAGCTTTCTGAGAGCGGTCACTTGGCCTGTGTTAAATTTGTGCTGTAGAGATATTACCCTGCCAATGCGAGTCTTAATACAGGAGCTGCAGGAAGAGCTGCGTCAGTTCCCTCTCCTGCTTCCCCTCACTCTCCCTCACATGCTTGCATTTTCCTGTGTTGGCTGCTTATTCACGGTGCGCACATGTGTCATGGGCCAGTCGCTCATTGTTTGTTCCCGAGCTTTTCAGGAGCTGCCAGAGGTGGTTCAAGATCGCTCAACGATTTGCCATTATTTGGGGAGCTTCAGCTTCCACTGGAGCGCTGCGGCTTACATGCATCTGGTTCTCTGGGGCAACGTGGCTTTTGAGCACTTTGTGCTCCGACAATGAGCCTCTGGGTCCTGTTCCTTTGGGCAGCTGCTTGCCCAGAGGCTGAATAACAGCATGCAAAACCCTTCCAGTTTGGTGTAATGGTTAAGAGCGCAGACTTTAATCTGGGAGAACGGGGTTTGATTCCCCACTCTTCCTCCACATGCAGCTGCTGGTGTGACCTTGGGTCAGTCACAAGTTCTCTTGGAGCTGTTCTCACAAGAGCAGTCCTCGAAAGAGCTCTCTCAGCCCCACCTCCCTCACAGGGTGTCTGTGGTGGGGAGGGGATGGGAAAGGGGATTGTAAACTGCTCTGAGACTCTTTCAGGTAGTAAAAGGTGGGGTATAAATCCAATCTCCTCTTCTCTTCTTCTTTGTCTGTTTTCTGAGTATTCCCCATTTGTTTGCTTGTTGCATGGTGTAGTTTAGGAGTGCAGACTGTAATCTGGGAGAACGGGGTCTGTTTCCCCACTCCTCCATATGCAGCTGCTGGTGTGACCTTGGGTCAGTCACAAGTTCTCTTGGAGCAGTTCTCTCAAGAGCAGCCCTGGAAAGAGCTCTCTCAGCCCCACCTACCTCACAGGGTGTCTGTTGTGGGGAGGGGAAGGGAAAGGAGATTGTAAGCTGCCCTGAGACTCCGAGTGGAGGGCGGGGTATAAATCCAGTCTCTTCTTCTGCCTTCTTGCTAAGGACAAGCCAGTGATGTCGATCTCCATTGGAGGGATGCTGACTAGGCTTGGAGTGGGAGGCTGTGGAAGCCCTCAGATGGCAAAGCGGTCTCCCCGCCTCTGGCTGTTCAGGCCAGGAGTCCTTATAGCCTGTAGAAAGTGGGGTTGACCTTTCAGGGTGAAGTGGGGTTTGAGCAGGGATGGGGTGAGAATCGAGCGGTGAGGCCGCCTTGAAATTCAGGATCACCATTTGAGTGTCAGCTGGTATCAGCAGAAGCCGCTTCCAAGGAAGTGTGTGAGTGCACATCTGTTTCTAATTTGTCTGGAATATGGTTTGGATACGTAAAATAAATACCCTTGGCTGTAACCTGAGGAGAAAAGAATTCCTGAAGAGAAGGCTCCATCTATGGCAGAATTCTTCAGCATTCCAGAATACCCCGAACCACTTCCGGTTTCCTCAACCTCCTTTTTTTGACTCCCCCTTTCTTACTTGAGTGTGTCACTTCATACATTCACAGCTTGATCTAGCCTTTCGGGAACGTCTGAAGACGTCGAGTGGCTCTCCTAAAAGAAGGCTAGCCCTCAATGTTCCCTCTAAGCTGTGGAGTCTCGTGAGCAAAAATCCTACTTTGTGAGCTACTGGGGCATTAAAGTTGTGAGCGAGCGATTTGGCTACTGCATAAATTAGTTTGCTCTGGAGCCCTCCTTCCTGAGTAAAGACAAAAATGTGTGCACTGGAGGCTAAGAAACTGTGAGCTAGCTCACACTCAGCTTAGAGGGAACACTCCAGCTACTAATATATGGAAAAGTATTATTTCTTGTTCCACGTGGCTACCAGATCCGTGTTGTGGAGGCTCATGCTACATCCCCTCTGGCCTCTGACCCTATCACACTTGCTTGGGAGTAAGCCCACTGAATGCAATGGGTCAGTTTGGGGCACTCTGCCAGCCAAGTAGGGTGCAATGTGTGTAAAGTTGCTCTGCCAGCCAAGTAGGGTGCAATGTGTGTAAAGTTGCTCTGCCAGCCAAGTAGGGTGCAATGTGTGTAAAGTTGCTCTGCCAGCCAAGTAGGGTGCAATGCTCTTGTTGGACAGTTTATTTATTTATTAAATCTCTAGGCCGCCCTCCCCTGTGAGCAGGGCTCCGGGCAGCTTACAACAGAGACATACAATAAATATATGTTAAAAAACGATTAAACCAACAAAAGAAAGCAACAGTCCTTAACAAGGCTCCCTCTAAGCTGTGGAGTCCTGTGAGCAAAAATTTTACTTTGTGAGGTTCTGGCATTAAAGTTGTGAGTGAGCGATTTGGCTACTGCATAAATCAGTTTGCTCTGGAGCCATCCCTTCCTGAGCTGAGACAAAAAAGGTGTGAGCCGGAGGCTAAAAAAGTGAGCTAGCTCACACAAACTCTGCTTAGAGGGAACACTGGTCCTTAGTAAAATCAGTTCCAAGATGGCTAGCAGTTAGAATTCCTGGTTTAGCAGATTGCAATCCTCCCGGAAGAAGCTTGTAAAATATGGGGGGGGGGGGACGTAAAGGAGGAGACGAAGAGGAAAAGATTGGATTTATACCCCGCCCTTCACTCGGAGTCTCAGAGCGGCTTACAAACTCCTTTCCCTTCCCTCCCCTCCCCACAGCAGACACCCTGTGAGGTAGGTGGGGCTGAGAGAGCTCTTTCCAGAACTGCCCTTTCAAGGACAGCTCTTGTCAGAACTATGGCTTGCCCAAGGTCATCCAGCAGCTGCAAGTGGAGGACTGGGGAATAAAACCTGGTTCTCCCAGACTATAGTCCGCACACTTAATTGTGAGGGTGCCAGATCACGTAATTGTGCTGTCACTGTCCTCAACTGAGTTGCCTGCCTTTTTTATCTTGTGGGGCCTGGCTTCCCGTTTGAGGAGACGTTCTCTCCCGTAGGTAACAGCGCAGTGTTCACAAGCGGTCCTCCAAATAGCTTCCTGGCTGAGCCCTTGTTCGTGGAAAACCTCGCACCATAATATGTTTGCCAACTTCTGATGTGCTGGGGATTCTTGGTGAGCAGCGCTGACCTTTAGCATCTCTCTGACTTTACCGTGTAAAGGAAGATGAATTAACTTCCCGCTCATGTTGTGGCTGGCCTTTGAAATTTCCTCTTCCTCGAGCTTGTGTCATCTTCCTTTAAATGTGGATGCACAAGTTCCTTGGTGTTTCTTGGAAAATGTAAGCCGCAGCGTCATGAGCGTGGATTCCAGAAGAGCCACGGGTCTTACTGTGCGCTCTCTCCATCTGTTACCAAAGACCTCTTTTGGACGGGACTTCCTTTTAGGGGTTACCCAGAGAGCTGTCTTTGCAAGGATTTCCCCTTGTACTAAAGATGATCTAGTTGAATCCCAACTAAGCTTGCTGCTTAAGCTGTGAGCCAAAATCTGGTCCGTTGGAAGGAGCCTGCAAGCCGCTTGCCGGCATGGAAACGCCAATGTTGTTCATATCCTGGTGACTCCTGGTAACCACATTGTAGTGGTATCCTGCGTGAGAGCTGAAAGCGCTTGCGTTCATTTAGACCGGATTGCTGCTTTTGTAGGGATTAGCGGTGAAGGTACGGCCCTTTACTGAGACAGCTCCGATTTCGTGGAACACTTTTCCTTGACAGCCAAGGGGCAGTTGTTTCTCTCTTTAACTTTCCAAAAAGTACCACGAGACCTTTTAAAAAAATTCTGCCAGCCGTTTGGCAAACCAGCTTGCAGGCTGTTCAGAATTCATTCTAATTGTTTTCAACAGGGTATTTATTGTGCTCCTTGATGTACTGAAACCCTGCCCGAATGTGGTTTAACCCTGGGAAAGCTGTCTCAAATGCAGTTTTTTTTTTAAAAAAAAAGGTTAGTCAAGGATGCTGTTGCCAAACTATGTTTTGCCCTGTGATAGATCCGTAACGCAGATGAATGGAGACAAAAACAGATGTGCCATTTTTGCTCTAACGCAGCCCTGTGTGAGGTAAAGCATCTGTAGCACCTGGCCCCTCTTTGGGGATGTGCCCCATTCCTTTAAAAGTGGCTTTTGTTGGTTGGCATCAGTATTCCCTCTATGCTGAGTTAGTGTGAGCTAGCTCACTGTTTTTTAGCCTCCGGCTCACCCATTTTTGTCTTGGCTCAGGGAGGAGGGCTCCAGAGCAAACTGATTTATGCAGTAGCCAAAGTCGCTCGCTCACAACTTTAATGCCAGCAGCTCACAAAGTAGGATTTTCGCTCACAAGACTCCACAGCTTAGACAGAGCATGGGTTGGCGTATCTGACGTTTCGGACAAACACGTCTCTTTCGAAGCCTTTTCATCCCTTTTTTTCTTCTGTGCGCTGCAGGCTGCGACGCACCAGGACATGACTTACTGGCTGCAGGAACTGCAGCAGAAGCGGTGGGAATACTGCAACGGCCTGGATGCCGCCCAGAGGGACAGCCGGACGTCGCCCGCGCCCAGCAACTTCTCCAAGGGGCTCGTTGCCAAAGACAACGCAGGTAACCTTTTTGTTCTTGTCGTTGCCGCCAAGTCACTGCCAACTCACGACGACCCCCTGGGGGCTTCAAAGCGAGGGAGGTGGTTTGCCATCGCCTGCCTCTGCGTAGCAACCCTGGACTTCCGTGGCGGTCTCCCAGACGAGTCATGACTGGAGCTGACCCAGCTTGGCTTCCAAGATCGAACTGGGTCAGGGTTCAAGGATGCGGAGGGGACAGGAAGCGCCCTCGTGTTGCAGCCGACTCATGGCGACCCCTAACGGGGTTTTCTGTCAGGCTTCTTAGTCAGGTCACACCACACACACAAGGCTTCTTCAGAAGATAAGTGTTTCATTGGTAGTCCAGTACTAAAGAGCGAGTATACAGCTTGTGGCAGGAATGACCTGTGATATGATGGCCAGTGACTTATAGTGTAATCAAACTATCCCCCCCCTGAACCAAAGCCAATGAGTACATTTCGTGCGCACGGGTAGCAAGAGGCAGGCAAGCGGCTAAGCGCCTAAGCTGTTAACTTTCCCAGGCAAGTTAATTTGCAGCTGGAGAACGACAACAAGGTCAGGCCAGAAGCTAGACAGGGATGAGCTGGGAACGAGGAGGCGGCGGTGCACCCCTCCACACTCCTGTGACAGGGCTACCTGACTTCTTCGAGGCAAGAGACGAACAGAGGTGGTTTTGCCCTTGCCTGCCTCTGCGTGGCACCCCTGGGCTTCTTTGGTGGGCTCCTATCCAACTACCAACCAGGGCCAGCCCTGCTTAGCTTCTCAGATCTGATGAGACCGGGCTGGCCCGGGCTATCCAGATCAGGGCACGGGTATGTAGTCTCCCCCCCCCCCCTTGGGCTTCGTTCCTAGAGTTTTTGTCTGTGTGAAGGCAGGGTAGTGTTTTATGCTGTAATAAAGTTAGTTCCGTCTCGGCATTGCTACAGCTGTTGGGCGAATTGTATTCATTGGTGCGCTTCTGACTGCTGTCTTTGGGTGAAGGTGCTCGTGATCTCTGGGGCCACGGTGCCTTCTTTAAGCGGAGGCAGTGAGTCAGTAGAGCGTGATCGACCGTGTCGAACGGTGCTGTCAAGGCAAGTAGCAACAGCAGTGCTGACCCACCTCGATCCAGATGCCTGTGAGAAGAGGGATCAGAGACGGCTGCAGCAAATGCTTAGCTTGAATCGCTCTGATGAATGGACGGTGCACCTTCTTCAGACGCAGCCGGGCCGTTGGTCTGTGCTAGTTTAAGAACGTCTCTCCCGGGATGTGGAGAGGATCCTTCAGGCAGAGAAAGGCCTTTTATTGGTGGGCTTAATTTAGCCGCCGTCTCCTCTGCTGAGACTCGAGGCATCCTACGCCATTCTTAAAAGTGCCCTAGGAACAGCAGAACGATTGCCGCAAGCCATGCGATGAAAACTCGATCACAAAATGCTCTGGAAAACAGCTTAATACGAGCCAATAAAGCAGGACCGCAAACCAGGCGACAAAACCAGGACGATACCCAGTGAGTGAGGGGGTGAAAATCGCCGGGAGTTTTGCAGACGGTAACTGTGCCCAGTTCCCTTTATAAGGCACCTTCTGCCTGAGGACCCTGTCGCTGGAGAGGGCAGAGGCTTGCACCCAGGACTTTCTGCGTGTGTCAAGCGACCACGGAGCTCTGCCCCCAGCTTATGGTAACGAGTCTTTGTTGCAGACAGGAGCCATGTCGGTCTTCAGTAGAAGAGCTAGTCTGGAGTCCAGGAGCACCTTAAGAGACCAGCGAGACCTCTGGGGGGGATGCGCTTTTGTGAGTCCGTCCAGCCTCCCTCTGTCAGCTACAAGATGGCTCGTACCCTTGGAAATCTGGTTGATCTCCCAGGTGCTCCCGGGGGCTCCAGTCTAGCGGTCCTGTGCTGCTCGCTCGCGTCTGCTCATGGCCTTTCCTCGTCGCCCGCCGAGTGCAGAGTGGCCTGGGTTAGGGTTGTGTCGCTGGTGCGAGTGTTTCTCCAGCAGCCCCCTGGGTTCAATTCTTCTTTTGTGATCTGCAGAAAAGAACGTGGAGCAATTCGTTACGTGGCTCTTTGAAATCCCTTCCTCCGTCTGTGGGTCTCGCTTGTAAAATAGCGGGCAAATGAGGAGCGCTCCCTCGTTGGGGGAATAGCCCTGCTTTCCCCTGGCAACGTTTCTGTGCGGTATACGTTGGGAGGGGGCTGCCGGGTAGACTCTGCACTTTCCATCGCCTCGGCAGCATCGAAGCTCTCTCTCCCACGGAACGAGCGCCTTTTGAACATACGGCCAGAGTTGTGGGCACACTTAAAGTCCGGCTCCTGGGCTTAGCCTTCGTTGCTCGAGAGGCAAGGGCTGGCTGGCTGGCTGGCTTCGAAAGCAGCTCCTGTGCTGTGCAGAAGTGCTTCAAGAGCCCTGAGTGGGGGTAGCCCAGGCCAGCCCGACCTCATCAGAATTCTACGTTGGAAGGGCGGCCTCCAAGGAATACCAGGGCTGGGACGCAGAGGCAGGCAAATAGCAAAGCCACCTCTCTGAAATGTCCTAGCCCCACTAGGGGGTCACCGCAAGTCACCATGGCTTCCAGGCATGCAAGCACACCAACACACGCACACACACAAATGCTGTTTTTTGGAAAAGAGCCCTGAGTGGGCAGGGCTGGACAGGGCAGTCTGAAGAAGCAGGCAGTCTACCGCAGGGGGGGTGGGGGGCGGGGTTCTCCTCTTAGTTGGGATGAAGCAGCAGATTGCTATAGTGGTTAAGCCAGTTTGGTGCAGTGGTTAAGTGTGCGGACTCTCATCTGGGAGAACTGGGTTTGATTCCCCACTCCTCCACTTGCACCTGGCTGGAGGACCTTGGGCAAGCTGTAGTTCTGATAAGAGCTGTCCTTGAAAAAGAGCCATTTCTGTCAGAGCTCTCTCAGCCCCACCTACCTCCCAGGGTGTCTGTTGTGGGGAGGGGAAGGGAAAGGAGATTGTAAGCTGCTCTGAGACTCCTTCGGGTAGAGAAGGGCGGGGTATAAATCCAATCTCTTCCTCTTCTTCTAATATGGGCTGCCTCAATTCCCCTGTTGAGGGCCACCGGGGGGGGGGGGCCGGCAAAGTCTGGGTACTCCCCCGGGGTGGGGCCCCGGGGGGGGGGGGGGAGCCGGCAAAGTCTGGGTTAGGGAATTCCTGGAGATCTGGGGTTGGAGCCTGGGAAGGGAGTCTAATACCATACTAGATGGAGTCTAACACCACGGCATCCGACCTCCAGCGAGCCCGTTTGTCCCCCCGGCAAAGATCTTTGTCTGGAGGTCCGTTGTAACGCCAGGATATCTCCAGGTCCCACCAGAAGGTTAACCAAAGAGAGATCACCGGATAAGCGAGTAGAAAATAGTCAGTGGCAACGGAGATATATTTACAAAGGAAATATCGCTCTTTCCCCCCCAATTTATATTTTTTATTTTTTTAAACAAAAACATACTTATAAAAATAGCTGATACAACAGCATCAATGCAGCATAACATTTAACGTAATACAGTTTTTCCTAGTAGTTTTTCAAAGTACCATTACATAACGATATAAACAGTTTTCATTAGAAGTACAATAAGCTTTGGTAGTGTTTATTTTTGGGGAGAATTTCCCCTATCGTGAGATATTCAACAATTGGGAACCACATTGCTTGAAGGGAATATCACTCTTCTATAGGTTTTCGAAAAATAGATCAATGTTGACACTGATCCATGTCTCTGCATTCATACAAGAATGAGCATCAAGAAAGTGCTCCCACAGCGTTGACAAGCACAGTCCAGTCATCTAAAGCTCTTACAAACAGTAAATCTTCTTTGTGTCTTTCGTGTACTAGTATTGGATTGTAGACAAATAGCATAAAGGTCACGAATCTGCAGACAGGCCGGCTCCCACACCTGTTTCAATAGGCTTCCTCAGAGCAGAAGACGTGTAGACTCAGTGAATCCTTTCATGCTCAGCATTCATCTCTGCAAGCCGTCTATCTGCACAATGCTCACGCTTAGCGAAATCTTCTCTTCTTCAGCTTTCTCTCTGTATGTTTTCTCACACTCTTGTGAGCCTCCTAATTGTGCCGTGCGAATCGACACAGGGCAGGCCTCGCTGTGGAGTGTTCTGGCAGCGATTGCATTTCTGAATTCTTGCCTGTTCCTCCCCAGATCTGAATATCGTGCCTCCCAATGCCTCGGCGGAGAAGGCCAGGAACGTCCTCGCGGTGGAGACGGCTCCCACGGAACTGGTGGGGGAGCGAGCGGCGTGCCACCCCATCCCGGGCCAGCCGAATGCCATCAACTTTGCCTTGAAGCAGTGGGGGAACGAGATCAAGTAAGCATTCTGTCCTCAAAAGCGGGGCACCGCTGCCGCTTGCAGAGCCGTGAAAAGGCGCCGTGTTCAAATGAAGCGTTCTTCCTTCGTAGGCAGGGAATCGAGGGTGTTGGTGGGCCAAGGTGGCCTTTGGACCTAGGCCTCCAGAACCCAAGTCTTCCTTACAGAGTCTTGTGTTGCAAGAAATGAGTGTGAACGCAGCCTGGATAGCGATTGAGGGCTGGCCAGGACGGCTTTTATTTATTTTATTTTATTCGGCTTCTATCCCGTCCTCCCCCGCATGGCAGGCTCAGGGCGGGCGACATCAGATTTAATAAAATACAATATATGCAATCACTACAATTAAAACACTCATAAAATCCCACCATGGCCTTCATCCAGGGCCGTTGTCCTTGACATTAAAACCTCACAGATCCTGGCTCTAATATGCAGTTCTGACCCATTGAGTGGAGGCTCAGTAAAGAGGGAGGGACGTCCGTCGCCCGAATTAAAAACCTGGCGGAAGAGCTCCGTCTTGCAGGCCCTGCAGAACTGTAAAAGGTCCCGCAGGGCCCTGATCTCGTACGGGAGCTCATTCCACCAGGTAGGGGCCAGGAAGCTGTGGGATTCAGGTGGGGACTGAATTCTCCCTTTTGGCAGAGAAGGGTCAGGCGAGAACACCCAGGTTTCACCTAGCGCGGTGAGCTGCTTTCGGGGTGAGCGGAGAAGGCCACGCCAAGGGCTGAGCTGTTTCCATGAGCCCAGGGTGCCCCTCCGCTTCCCGTCGTGACGCACCAGAGACTGTGTGACTCGGCCTTCATTTCATCTTGTCGCATCGGAGGGCAGTGCTTAGCTGGGCTTGTGATGATGGTACGTTCGCTGCCCCCCCAGTAGACGATGGGAACAGCAAGGTGGAAGGAGACTCCCTGACTATGTAGGAAGATGAATTTCCTGCTAGATGAAACCTGGATGGATGCAGAGCGCAGGTGGCCCAGAAAGGGCCTGAATTTGGGGGGGGGGATGGTTGGCCGATCTCGAGGAGGGTTGCGAATCGCCGCTCCCTCTGCTGCGATGCCCTGTGGGCTCCCGGCACGTCTCTCCTCAGTTGTAGAGAGCTCTCGCTCGACCATTTGAATTTCGGCCTGCCTTTTCGGGGAAGGCGTGTTAAAGAAGGAGCGGCCTCTAGGAGAGCCAGTTTGGTGTGGTGGTTAGGAGCCCGGACTCTAAACTGGGAGAGCCGGGTTTGATTCCCCACTCCTCCCCCTGCAGCCAGCTGGGGTGACCTTGGGCCAGTCACAAGTTCTCTCAGAGGTGTTCTCTCAGGAGCAGTCCTCGAGAGAGCTCTCTCAGCCCCACCTGCCTCACAGGGTATTTGTCTGCTGTGTGGAGGGGAAGGGAAAGGAGTTTGTCAGCCGCTCTGAGACTCCTCCGGGTAGTGAAGGGTGGGAGAGAAATCCAATCTTCTTCCTCCGTAAGACTGTGCTGCTGCAGTTGCTCTGCTGGCTGTGGCCCCCTTGTGACCCCCTCCCCCTTTCCATTTTTGGAATATTCGCCCTGGTCAGTTATTGTTGTGCCGAATGGCTGCCCAGGGACGGTGGCTCCTTTCCCAGATAGCTACAGGGCAGGGGATGTGCAGCGACTGTTGCCTTGGTAGCCCTAGAAAAATCAGACCGTATCCTCCTTGTCGTTTCAATGCCTGGTATTGATAGATTTCACTCCCGTCCTCATGATGTGAGACAAAGAGGCTTTTAAAAGAAAGATCTGGGGTCTGCCGTTCTGAATACCCACTGCTGTCTGTCGAGGGTTTCTCTGTTGGCCCTCTGCAAATGTCACTGTGGCTTCCGAACCCTTGACCTTTGCCACCAGCTGCTGGGAGCAGAACGTGGTCTCCTTCGATACCCCGGCCTCCTTGGCCCCATCTCCGTGCAGTGACTAAGCCTTCAGTGTCTGGTTTTTAACTCTTTCTGCAATTGTGCAAACTAAGGAAGTTTGAAGAGAAGAGATTGGATTTATACCCCACCTTTCATTACCCAAAGGAGTCTCAGAGCGGCTTACAAACTCCTTTTCCATCCCCCTCCCCACAACAGACACCCTGTGAGGTAGGTGGGGCCGAGAGAGCTCTTTCGAGGACTGCCCTTGAGAGAACAGCTCTGAGAGAACTGTGGCTTGCCCAGGGTTATCCAGCAGCTGCAAGTGGAGAAGTGGGGAATCAAACCCTCTGGGTTCTCCCAGATTAGAGTCCGCGCACTTAACCACTACACCAAACTGCACGTGTTTACACTGCATTTTCCCTTTGCCCTCAGTTTTTGCTGAAGATGGCAAATTCTCTGTACTGATTACCGAAAGCAAGTGAACGAGGGAACAGAACTGAGGCTCCGATGAACAGGGGAGGCATGAAAAAGGGGGCGGGTCCTGCTTCTTAGACTCCACATTAAGCTTAAAAGTGCTGTTGGAGCAGACTCTGTTCCTTGGTGTTTTTATCAGCTTCTTTTGATACGCCAGCTGTCCATCTTTCAGGCAGTAGAGACATGACCACGGCTACTCCTGCCTCAGTGGCATCCAGATTATTGGGGCTTTGGCTCTGTGGCCAGCATTTCAAGAGTGTTTGGGAGTGTTTGGGGCCGCGGTGGCTCAGGGGTTAAGATGCTGAGATGCAGACCGGAAGGTCGGTAGCTCGGCAGTTCGAGACCCGAGTGCCCCGTGACGGAGTGAGCTCCCGTCTCTGGCCCCAGCTCCTGCCAACCTGGCAGTTCGAAAGCAAGAAATTGCAAGTAGATAAATAGGTACCGCTTCGCTTGGGAAGGTAACAGCATTCCGTTTGCCTCAGCGTCTAGTCATGCCGGCCACATGACCACGGAGAAGTCTTCGGACAGCGCTGGCTCTTAGGCTTGGAAACGGAGAGGAGCACCGCCCCCTAGAGTCGGATTCGACTGGCTTTCGAGCAAGGGAAGCCTTGACCTTTAGTGGCCCAGAACGTGGCCTCCAGGTTGTGGAGGGAGGCAGGTTGCCTGGGGCATGCTGCTCCTGTTTTTCTGTGGACCCTCTGGCTCCCCATGCTGCCTTTTGGGCCAGTTCAGAGTCCTGAACAGTCTGGGACCAGGATACCCTAAAGACTGCCTTCTCCTGCGGGACCCTGTCTTCACACTTCTGTCTGTAGACCTTCTCCATGTATATCCTCCCTTCCTGCCATTGCGTTACAGGCAGTTTACCGTTCAGAACAGCCGGCACTAGGCGATAACAGGCTCAGTGCAAAAGGGTACGGAAAGGAAAGGGGAAAGGCAGCCCTTTTTGGACTCTGAACCAGACTCTGTTCCAGCCCAGCCAGATGTGTGTTCTGGATTCGATCCCTGACTCTCAAGCGGTGATCATCGTTCCTGCCATTGCGTTACAGGCAGTTTACCGTTCAGAACAGCCGGCACTAGGCGATAACAGGCACAGTGCAAAAGGCTACGGAAAGGGAAGGGGAAAGGCAGCCCTTTCTAGACTCTGAACTCTTGGGCAATGCACACCGCTGTTCCAGCACAGCCAGATGTATGTTCTGGATTCGATCCCTGACTCTTAAGCTGTGATCATCTCCTGCTTTTAGTTGGCTGCGGAAAGTATATTTCAAGCTGCTTTTTACAGATTCTATCGCTGGTAGAATTTAGTTTAGTTTTTTGCTAGTTGTCTGTTTCGAGGCCGGTGCGTGATCCGCTTTGAGTCACGAACTTGGAAAAGCAGGGTATAAATATTTTTGATAATGAAATGAGAAAAAGCAAGGAACTATTTTTAACAGAGCCTCTGTTCTGTACCAGTTTGGCAAGCCAGTTTGGGAAAGAGTTTGTAAGCCGCTCTGAGACTCCCTTGGGTAGGGAAGGGTGGGGTAGAAATCTAATCTCTTCTTCTCTTCTTCTACCTTGTACCAGGTTTTGTTCCTGGGTGGCAAACAATGTTCCCTCTGAGCTGTGGAGTCTTGTGAGCAAAAATTCTACTTTGTGAGCTACTGGCATTAAAAGTTGTGAGCGAGCGATTTGGCTACTGCGTAAATTAGTTTGCTCTGGAGCCATCCCTTCCTGAGCCAAGGCAAAAATATGTGAGCTGGAGGCCAAAAAACTGTGAGCGAGCTCACACTCACTCAACTTAGAGGGAACACTGGTGGCGAACTGTTTTTATTCATTTTGATTTATTTTAAAAAGCCACCCTCTCTACTCTGGGTGTCCCAGGCTGTTCATGCTGCACAATGTCCATATTTTAAGCCATGCGACAGTGAAATTCCGGCAGCAGATTGATATCTGCAGAAATAGCAGGCAAATCTTGAAACACTTCCAGGGCGGAGATGCCCAGGCGCAATGTCCTCATACTGTCGGCCTGAGCGAATGAAGTGTGTGTCGCCAGGCTCCTACCCGAAGAGGGCGTTGGTGCCAGCTGGGTGGCTTCTGTTGCTTCAGAGTGCAGCGCCATCGGACTAGGCCTTCTTCCTGCTCGCCACCCACCTGGCTGGGATGGTGAACCGGGAGGACAAGATCCCAGGGCAGGGGGAAGTTAACGCCAGCAGTTTGAGTGGTGCCTGGATACAACAGGGGAGGCAGCGCGGGCCTTTCAGCTCAGGTACAATAGCCTTGTGTACTCACAGTGTGTGTGTGCAAAAGGAGGCAGTAGGGTGCCCAGGCCCGTAGCTATGGTGGAGCTTTGGAGGGTTCCGCCCCCTTTCTTAAAGGCACCGCCCCACAATAATTTATCCTGTAAATGCTTTTTTCAGTAATCTTAAAACATTTTTTTTAAAGGTGTGCACTCCTTTAAGCAGAGTGGGGTGCTGTAGTTGACTAATTCCCGCGCTGAGCAATGTGGGTGGAGTAGGTGACCTCTAGGACCCCTAACTCGGTTTCAAGAAACTGGTCAGAAACTGGTCTCCTTTAAAAGAGGTTTTTTCCTGCCTAAGTGTTGGCTTTCTTGACTAGAGAAGTCCTCACCCCCACCTGCCTGCTTGTTCTCAGAACTGTTGCTTAGGCTGGCAGAAGGGATTAACTTGCAGCAGCTGAGAGCTGTCGTCTAAAGTGGTCTACGGCTTGCAATTTAGGGATCTATCCTGGTAACAGAACAGACAACTTGAGAAGACTGAGAGAGAGAAAAGTAGCTGAGTTATAATCCTCAGAGTTCTGGCTTTTCTTTCTGCACTGAGAAGTTCAGCCCCACCAGGAAACAAAATTGCCCCACCAGCCATAAAATCCTGGCTACGGGCCTGAGGGTGCCTCTAACTAACTGAAGGGGCCTGCACGGGTTTCAAAATCACAGGCGACGTTAGGCCACCAACTTGGTTCAGCCTGTTTTGGGTGGAGGGACATTGCCGGTAAGGAAGGGGCAGGGGAGGTCTCTTTGTTTACATAGGGTGTCAAGAGAAATACCCTGGGGCTTGCTGAAGTTGCAGAGGCAACTATGGGAAGTAAAATCCGATCTGACCAAGTTCCCCTTGTTCAGCTGCGGAGGCCGCGCCGGCTTGCTTTTCCTTGTCAAAAAGCCAGCTGTTGGATCACATGCTTTGAGTGTGTTTCTGTTTGCAAAACCTTCCAATGTGGCCACGTTCGTGTGTCACAATAACTACGAAGCAGTTTAGGGGAAAGGAGCGGAAAGCGAAGCAGGCTTGGTCTTTATCGAGAGCTGGTGGCATAGAGGCCGTTGGGCTTGCACTGTAGGGAGGACGCCTGAACACACAAAGCTCCCTTCGACTGAATCAGCCCCTTGGTCCCTCAAGGTCTACTCAGACCGGCAGCGGCTCTCCAGGGTCTCAGCCGGAGGTCTTTCCCATCACCTGCTACCCTGATCCGTTTTAACTGGAGATGCCGGGGATTGAACCTGGGACCTTCTGCACGCCAAGCAGAGGCTCTGCCACTGAGCCACAGCCCTTCAGTGGAGCCGGCGATCCTCTTCCAAGCACTTTGGTTCTGCTAAGCCTGCTCCCGGAAGTGCAGTTGAGCCGGAGGTCCGGATATCTAAAACGCCTGTACTGTAGTAACCTCAGGCAGGGGGGTAGTCACATGATGAGATTTCGCAATCAGAATTTTTCTGCCAAATGTGGAACTAACCGACAGAATGACTTTTTTGGCCCGTTCTATACACAGACATGTAAGTTTCCTGGACGTTCTGAAGCCCAGGAAAGAACCAGGATTTTTGCAGAGTGGGGAATCGGAATATACACAAGACTTCCCTCTGTCAGGCCTAAATTTGATAAGCAACACGACACTCAGTCAAGCTGCACCTCTGCGTATCTCAGATCTCTCTTTTCCGTGGCTTTTCTGCGGAGCCCTTTCCAGCGAACGGGGCCCTTTGTTTGAGCTGGTCCAGGGCCAGTTCTGGTGCAGCTTGGTGGAGAGAAACTTGGCAGGCCTCTGCAGGGACACGAGGGACCGCACTTCATTTCGTGAAACAGCTGAGCAAGCGGAATTATCTCAGCCTCAGGGTGGGATGTTTATGTTCCGATTTGAGGTGGCCGCGTTCCCGAGGGCGGGTTGTGTCTGTCCAGCAGTTTGTGTCCCTCTTTAGATACTCCGAGTGCAGAATGTTGCAGGCGAAAGCATTCTGATCTGCGTGTTGCTTTGCGGCCGGGCTGCACCAGAGTCCCTTTTTGTGATCTGAGATCCTAGAAGTGGCGTTTTGGTTATTCCTTGAGGCAGAGTTTCCCTGGACTGGCAGAGGGAGAAATTTACCAGTTTGCCCTCCGCCCCCAAGGTTCTTCCATGTAACCCCAAAGTCTGGGAATGGCTTTGAAATCTACAAAGGCCAAACAGTCTATCTATCCTTCTGTGTGTGTGTGTGTGTGTGTACAGTGAGGTCAAGTTGCATCTGACCAGTGCTCCCTCTAAGCTGTGGAGTCTTGTGAGCAAAAATTCTGCTTTGTGAGCTACTGGCATGAAAGTTGTGAGCGAGCGATTGGGCTGCTGCATCGATTAGTTTGTTCTGGAGCCCCGTCCTTCCTGAGCTAAGACAAAAATGCATGAGCCGGAGGCTAAAAAACTGTGAGCCAGCTCACGCCAACTCAGCTTATGGTCCACCCCAGCAAGGGGCTTTCAAGGCAAGCGAGACGGTTTGCCAATTGCCATTGCCTTTCTCTGCAGAGTCTTCATGTTTGTCCTCCCTCCCAAGTACCAACCCTGCTTAGCTTCCAAGATCGAAGAGGATCGGGCTGTACCGTGCTGCCTTCCTCGCGCCCGCCCACCCCCCTTATAATGCCACTGTAATGCACAGCGGCAGACTTTTCCAGTTTGGTCAACCGCATCAAGTAAATTGTCCCCTCCAGAGACTTCCGGGGCCTATCATTAAATGAAGAACAATTGGCTCACTGTGGCTCACTGGCAGGGCCCCTGCTTGTCATGCCGAAGGTCCCAGGTTCAGCATCTCCAACTAAAAGGATCAGGTAGCTGGTAGTGTGGAAAAGCTCAGCCTAAGACCCCGAGGAGCCGCTGCGAAGTCCTGGCTTCGATAGACTAGTGATCTGATTCAGTATAAGGCAGCTTGCGTCTTGGATAGGATTCTTTGTTTCGGAATTTACAGTTGAGCACTTTTTTTTTTTTAGGAGCTGCGGTGGCTCAAGTGGTTAAGACGCTGAACTGCAGGCTGTGGAAGGTCGGTAGTTCAGCAGTTCGAGACCCGAGTGTGTCGCGTGACGGAGTGAGCTCCCGTCTCTGGCCCCAGCTCCTGGCAACCTAGCAGTTCGAAAGCAAGAAATTGCAAGTAGATAAATAGGTACCACTTCGGTGGGAAGGGAACAGCGTTCCGTGCGCCTTGGTGTTTAGTCACGCCGGCCACATGACCACGGAAATGTCTTCAGACAGCGCTGGCTCTTCGGCTCTGAAACGGAGATGAGCCCCGCAACCCTAGAGTCGGACTCGACTGCCTTTCGAGCAAGGGAAACCTTTACCCTTTTTTAAACATTTTTTTTTACAATGACTCTGTCCTTTTGGATCGGCTTAACGGCTTGACTTCTGTACTTTGCAGGAATTCGGTGTCTTCATTAAGAACGGGCAAGGGAAGCAGTGAGAACCGGAGGAGCATCTTTTACACGGAGGAGTGGGAGATGCTGGACCCCGGCCCCAAGGACCTGGAGGAGGCGATGGCGCAAGAGGAAAAGAAGAGGCCTTCGCCGGAACCCAGCAAAGGTGCCCAAACAGTCCCTCCACTCCGGCTTGATGGCTTCTGCGCTTGGACTCTTGAGGAGTCTCTTAATTTCACTTCCCGATTGTTGGCACAGGAGGGGTGGGGGAATTTGCCAAACTGTGTGGAAGCACATTAAGAAAGGCAAACGATACTGAAGAAATTTACTAACGGGTAACTCAATGAAGAGTAATATTACTGTTAGCAAATTTCTTCAGTATTGTTTGCCTTTCTTAGTGTGCTTCCACACAGGGTTTTTTTCCTGACTTGCTATGTTTACCGTGCGATCGCTGATTGTTTTCTGGAAATTGGCAAACCCCAGAGCTAAACCGGTTTCATTGGGGCGTGGGGAGTGGGGGAGATTTTATTCCTCCAGGGCCCCTTCCCATGAGACATTTGGCGGTAGGCGTGGGGGCTGTGGCATAGTTCCTTCCTGCATTGCAAAAGTAACTCTGGCAACCCCGGGCCGTGGGGGAAGGCCTTTGTCTGTGGCTCCTTCCCACGCCACCCTCGCCACGCCCAGAAAGCGGTCTTGACGTCAGTCTTGCTGGAGTGTGGCTTTGGATTGGTCTCCCTCGGCAGCTGGGTGGGCTCACTCTCCATGCTCTGTTGCTGCACCTTATTTCCACTCAGCCCGCCCGAAAACGTGTGGCTGTTTTCGTGCAGGGGACGTCTTAAAGACCACAGTGCTTGGCTGTGGGACAGTGTGTGTGTTGCAGAACAATTGCAATATGCGTGAGAGGGAAATGTCGTATGCTGCGCTGGATGGGGGAGATTGGGTTTGAAGCGGGTAAAGTCTGGGCTCCGTCTCCTGCTCTGCCTTGGGTCAGACATACTCCCCAGCTGAGCCTCTTTCAAGGAACACAGCTGAGATCAGGGTTTTTTTAGGAAGAATGTGTGTGAGGAGTCCCAATCCCGCTTGTACATCCTTCACTCTGAACAAGGAAGGCGTCTGCCCGATGCCTCGTGGCGTAAACTGTGGCTCCTCCACTGCTGACTTATTTTTATTGTGTTAGACAAAATTTATGCCCCTCCTTTTCCACCCTCATCAGGGCCACCAAGGCGGCTAACAAATTTAAACATACCTCATAAAACCGCACTTTTAAAACCAACAAAATACACATAATTAAAACAATTAAAACTGGGGCTGAAATACAGACAAAAAAACATTAAAACAACAGCAGTTACAGGAAATGCACACTTCGCGTGCTCAGAGGCACTGCGATTCTTTAACTTAATGTCGGCTCTGGGCAGTGTTCCCTCTAAGCGGAGTCAGTGTGAGCTAGCTTACAGTTTTTTAGCCTCTGGCTCACACATTTTTGTCTTGGCTCCAGAGCAAACGGATTTATGCAGCAGCCAAATCGCTCGCTCACAACTTTAATGCCAGTAGCTCATAAAGTAGGATGTTTTGCCCACCAGACTCCACTGCTTAGAGGGAGCATTGCTTCTGAGCCCAGTACCGTCAGTCCATCCTGGAGCTCAACCCTGAACGTAGTCCTCACTTGGCCACACAATGCAATACTGGGTGTCATTTTGGGAATCTGCCCAGCTGGAGGTTTCTTCCAGGCGGCCGAAAGCGTAGATGTGATGCCGATCTCTCACAGTTCGCTTCTGCCCTCATTCCAAGGTGCTTGGGGAGATATTTGTAGTTTGCAATCTCATCTCCTTTATCCTCACGATGATGGAGTTAAGTTAGTCTGGGGCGAGCAAGTGCCTCACAGTCACACAGAAAACTTTGTGGCTAAGGGCCTGCTTCGAACCTGGCCCTCCTCAGTCCGACTTTTACACTCCAGCCTCTGTACCACACTGCCCCAGTCTGCGGAAGCAACTAGTTTAAAAAAGATTTATTCGAAATGTGTGTGTGCATACCAGAAACACACACGTGAGGACACCTGAAACACACACACACATCAAACCCTGCATAGTTACCTTTAACTATAAATAAAAGGCTACTTCCTAAAAACGTCACAAATATACATCTTTAAATTCGGCTCAGGATTTCTACCCTCACATTTTCACCGGGCTTAATTCTGTTCCCACCAGTAATAAGCAACTGCAGAATTATAACAAATCCTTCCTGCATATTCCTTTGCCCATCCCCTGAGCACCTCATTAGCTGTCTGTCTTCTGCTTTGTTTGCATATGGGACTACTTAAACTTTGACATTCATGGCCCCATTGTAAACAAATGAATAAAATCCAGGACAGATCAACTTGGAAGTGCTTTTTAAGATTTCAGTTTTGTCTAGGTTTAAGAACACAAGAAGAGCCCTGCTGGTTCAGACCAATAGTCCATCTAGTCCAGCATCCCGTCTCACACAGTGGCCAACCAGTTCCTCTGGAGGGCCAACAACAGGGCTTAGAGGCCAAGGGCTTCATAAGAACATCAGAAGAGCCCTGCTGGATTAGACCAGTGGCTCATTTAGTCCAGCCTCCTGTCTCACACAGTGGCCAACCAGTTCCTCTGGAGGGCCAGCGGCAGGGCAGAGAGGCCGAGGCCTTCCCCTGAGAAGAACCTCAGAAGAGCCCTGCTGGATCAGACC